AGGAACAAAGTCTACACCTCATGTTTCTAACTGATGCTAATTCAGTGTGCTCAAAAGACAAAATAGAAAGCAAGTAGATAAAGTATATGAAGAATAATTTAAAAAAACAACAAAGGGGCCAGGGATGCAGCTCAGTGGCACCATGCCTGCTTAAGTTCGATCCCTGGTGCCAGAAAACAAAACAAAACAAAACAAAACACAACAAATTTTCATGGAATTATAATTTAAGAGCAAGGACAATCATTTCAAATAAAAAAGGAGAATGAATATATAAGCAAAAGTAGGGGGATTATGAAAGCAAGTCAGCCTTAATTTAATAACGCTGGTGAGTAAAATAGGAGGAGCAATTAGCTAACATCATTTACAACAGCTGTAGAAATAACACATATGAACTTTACTTTGTATTAGATATTAAATTGCTAATAAGTAAATAATATCTCCTATACTTGATAATAGTGTACTTTGTTTGGTATTAGACAGGACCTAATTAGAATAAGACTTGATAGTCTCATTTGAAAAGTTTTTTGAAAATTAAATAAGGACTAGCAATTAACACAAAATACTAGAGCATTCCTATGAGAAAAAATTAACAGAAATGGAAGTATTTACCTTGAAAAAGAAATGAGTAAAGGGAAAGAGTATTGCCTTCCAAGGCTATTAATAGTTACAATAAATTGTTCTCCTGCCCTGTGGAGGACCACATAGAAATAATGGCAAGACAATTTGATTTGCAATGTGGAAGTCATCCTGATAATGAGAAAAAATTTAAGTACTGGAACATCTAACTAAAAGTGATTATAAGTTTTTTACATCCCTGAACAATTTTAGCAGGAAAAATAAATGCAATATCCACCCTAGCTCTTTTCTGTAATTTCACAGGTGTATCTTCTCAAATAGCCACACAGGGATAGTGAAACTGTAGGGGCAGAGTTCATACCACAGTTCCTAAAGTTCATGTATCTTCGTCACACTATTATCTTTCCTGGACTCACCTCCTCTCCAATTTGGGGATTATTTCTAGTCCACTAGTCCACACAGGTCAGGAATAAATACCTTTGGCTGAATAAGGAAATATTTGGTAAAGTTTATGTGCTGCTCAGTCACAGTATTGGTTCAGTGCCTCAGTTTCCAAACACAGGAACAAATATTTGTAGGCTCCTTAGTACAGATAGTCCTCATCTTACGATGAATCCCAATGAAATTATCATAAATTGAAAACATTTTATACATCAAAATTAGATGTAATACTCATAACCTACTGAACAACATAGGTTAGTAGGACAGCACACTATGAATTGGCTGGTTGGCTCATAATAGGGTGGCTGATTAGGGGCTGTGGCTAAAAGTAGCTGCCTAACATTACAAGAAAGTATGATAGCAAATATTGCTAGCTCAGGTAAAGACCCAGATTCAAAACTTGCAGTATTATTTTGGACAAATATGTATGGCTTTCACACTATTGTGGTAAAAATTTAGGGCACCATCTGCATATATCCTGGAATTTCTCTTTCTATCATTGGTTTAGTTTCAGCTTTTCCCAAGCCCTAAAATGTTGGATCCTACAGTTTGACACCTTTAGCCTTTTCCTTATAATCTTTTCCATGTGCCCTGCCAGACTCCCCATTGTTTGGTTGGCCATTTCTTTACAAGGCTCATAAAGGACTCCATATTTCTGGATGGCTCCGCATAGTCCCACTATGAAGTTCAAGCCTGATACTATTACGCATTTCTTCTTGATAATTCTTTCTCCATTTTACAGTCATACTAGACATTAAGTCCAAAAGTTTTTAAACTGAACTGCATTAATTCTTTCAATTTTCAGTCACTGGTCCTACCAAGTCTTCCTAATGTGAGCCTGTTTACCCCAGCTAAAGTTTGCTTTCTTTGGCAAAGAGAGTTTGATTGGCTTTGAGTATAAGGCCCAGGTAACATTTGTGAGGGCAGCCCTTAATCAAGAATGAATATGTGATTCCATTTAGCTATAAATGTCTCTAGTTTCTCAGTCTTTATGGCTGAGTAGTACTCCATTTTATTAAAAAAACCAACATCTTCTTTATCCTGTCTCCAGTTGATGGACAATTGGGCTGTTTCCAAGCTTTAGCTATTACAAGCTGTGCCGCTATAAACATGGGTGAGCATATATTGCTATGGTATGATTCTTTTAATTCTTTTGGGAAGATACCCAGCAAGGGAATAGCTGGGTCAAATGAGACCTCTAATCCTAGTGTTTTTTGGTATCTCTATATTGATTTCCACAGTGGTTGCACCATACTCTTAAGTGAAATAATTAAGACACATGTGTAAATACTGAATAATTTCTCTGGTGTGAGAAACTAAAAGTATAAATAAGAATCAAAATGTATAATTGATAATGTGAAATATGAAGAAAACATCTAAAGGGGTAGGAGAAGTGGGAGGAGTAGAGGAAAGAAAAGGAGAGAAGGAAAAAATATGAGAAAAGGAAAAAATGGAAACAAAGTCTTTATAAATAGGGAGGGTTGGAGGGGGTGAAGGGAGGGCAGGGGAATGGGGAAAAATAAGAACCAAGATACATCATGAAAAGGTACAAGTTCCTAATGATGAATGTAACTGTATTGTATACCTAAAATGTAACAATAAACTTAATGAAAAAAAAGAACGAATAGGAGATTAAGCGTCCAGATTTTGTTCTTCTTGTTTGAAATAATTCTGAGGTTTATTTCATAGTATCTCTCATAATTCAACAACAGCATCAAGCCCTGACTCATACTGAATCCCTATTGGTTTCCTTCCTCTCCTGGTCTTACTTTAACCTCCTCCTAAATAAGACTACTGAAAATACAAATTCTCACTTCTCGGTCTGTCTGTAGATGAATTTATCCTAATTTAAAGTATCTTTATATCTTTACATAATCATTTTCTAAAGCACTTACTTTGTTCTATAAGTAACTAATTAGCTATATTATAAACCAACAGTAATAAAAACAGCCATAATGCTGGAACAAATACAGGCCTGTGGATGAATGGAACAGGATAGAGGATACAAAAACATTCCTAGACACACTGAGCTATTTGATCTTTGACAAAGGGGGCAAAAGCATACATTGGAAGAAAGATAGTCTATTTTACAAATGTTGCTAGAAAAACTAGATATGTGTTTACAGAATATTGAAGCTGGATCCATATCTCTCATGATGTACTAAACTAAAATCAAAATGGATCAAAGATCTAAATATTAAAACAGAAAACACTGAACCTCCTGCAAGATAAAATTTGAAAAACACTTGAGCTCATAAGGCGTAGGAAAGGATTTCCTAAACAGAATTGCAATGGCACAAGAAATAACAAGAATCAACAAATGAGATTACCTCCAATTAAAATGCTTCTGCATAGCAAAGAAAGCAATTAGTACAGTGAAGATAAAACCTACAAATGGTAAAAAAAATGTCAGCTATTCCTCAGAAAGAGGACTAATATCTAGAATACATAAAGAACTCAAAAAAAATTAGACCACCAAATAAAAGATCCAATCAAGAAATGCGCAAATGAAATGACCAGAAATACTAATAGTCAGCAAATACATGAAAAAATGCATAACATCTCTGGCCATTAGCAAATTAAAACAATGCTAAAATTCTATCTTACACCAGAAAGAATGGCAGTCATCAGAAAAAACATAACATGTATACCAATATATATAGCAGCACAAATTATAATAGATAAATTCAGGAAGCAACCTATATTTCCACATACAGATGACTGAATAAAGAAAAGATGGTATCTATACATAATGGAATACTCTCAGCTATAAAGAACAATTTGAGACATTTGTAAGAAGATGGATGCATTTGAAAAATATAATGTTGAGTGAAATAAATCAGACACACAAGCTTAAATATCATGTAATATCTCTCATTTAAGTAAGGCAAAGTACAAAAAGCATGCTAAACCATGAGTAGAAGGAAACAAGGGTTCTGTCCGAAGTACTCTCTAAGGGAAGGTGGGGCAGGGGTGGTGGAGAATGGGGTGGAGTGGATGACAGAATGGATGAATGTGTTTAGCTAACAGTTGAGCCTTGTGTGGTGGCCCATGCCTGTAATCTCAGCACTCAGGAGCCTGAGGCAGGAAGATCTCCACATATTCGAGGCCACCCTGGCCTACATAGTGAGTTCAAGGTCAGTCTGGACTACACATAATAAGCTAAAGGAATGTAAACACATATCATAAAATTAATAATATCAACAGGAATGAAGCTGGGGGAAGGAGATTTAGAGGAAGAGGGAGGAGTGCGACATGGAAGGGGGGGGAGTTTAAACTAGAATCAAGCTGTATCTTGTACATGTGCCCAGTCTCTTATAAGATGATTGTAAACTTCATGTACTGTGAACATATACTAATAAAAAATAATTTTAAAAACTCTTACATTAACATTGGAGTAAAAATCAGTAATTTTGGTCTATGTGTGTACAATGTATAACAGTGAACAGTACCCTTCTGGGAATGTAGGACATATTTCCTTAAATAGACAATTCCCAGATGGGGACAAAAAAGCATTTGTTGTGCCTTGCAGCTCCAAGTTAAGATTTGTTAAAAGAAAACACTCCATAATTCTGTAATGAGAGGGTTTGGCCACAGAAGTACTATTTTTTAACATATTTTCTTATCATTTCTAGTACAATAGTAAGGAAGATCCTTCCTATTTGCTAAAGAAAAGAAAGAAAAGTGGTTATCTTTCTTGGCCTCCTGATCATGTTAGGAGGCACCTACACACAGAATCTTATCATTTCTGCACATTCTACAGTTAATGTTCTCATTTGCATAAGTTATAACCAAATACAGAAGTAAAAATGTAGTTTGTGACAATAAATCTGACTTTGGGGATACATACAAGTCTCCAAAGTTCTAATGCATTTCAGACTTGACATTATAGCATAGAAATAAAACCTTACTTACAATCCTTCCAGGCAATCCAGATGGTAAAGTGTGTTGAAATAATTCAAGAAAAGGTAGAGCAAACTTACCCGAATCATCATGACTGAACATCTGATGTCATGAATTGTATCGTAGATCTTCTTTGAGATGTCCACAAATTGATTATCATCAAACACATTCAATGAGTTCTTGCTCAAGGCTTCCAAGGCAACATTCACTTGTGTTACAAACTCAGGAATTACTATTAAAATAAATGAGAAAGAGATTGTCTTCATTGTATTTTTTGTATTTGTATACATCCTAGGAAATGTAGCATTCTATTTTAAATAAATATTTGATAAGTAGTAAATTCTTAATGTAGAGAAACAAAACATTTTGACATGGTTATCTTGTGTCTCTGAATAGTGAAAGACATCAAAGACAAAGAGAGGTATGTCTATAGAAATATTTAAAAATTATCCTCTTTGATGTCACTCTTTGTTTTTACCAAACATAAGATCGTAAAGTCCCTTCTTATCCTCTACAATACAAACCCCAAGAAATCACAGAAAGAAATTGGTGTGAAAAAGAGTTGGAATTGTAACATAGTAAAAATGAAACATTTTATTTGCTAAACAGAAGAAAATTTAGTTTTAGTTTGTAATTTTTTCTTATGAGAATAATACAAATACTCTTTAAATATTCTTTTGGTAAGGTTTTCCTTACTATCAAAAATATAAATGAAAACAAATTAACAATGTTATATGCAAACTATTTCTAAAATACCAGAACATTGAAAAAGTATAGGGCTGTTGAACAGTAAATCACTCACCAAACTTGCCACTATAAATAACAGGACACAATGGCTTCCAGCCTTTTGATATCCTTTATTAAGTCAAAACACATAGTTAAGTTCAAAAAGATGTACTCTCAACAGCTGCAATGACCTGTTGTTTGCAAAGTTTTATTAATAATCCTCTTCACTAAAACATTTTTCTCATATAGCAACAAGTGTGCAATACAGTCATAATTCTATTGAGACCTACAATCTTTTACTATTACCTGTACAATAGTAAAACTATTCACATAATCTTTCAATGAAGATTTTGGCAAAAAGACATAAAATCATGCAAAGCTCTAGTTTCCACTCCCATGTCATAAAATGTGACAAAGATAAGATATTTTGAGGAAAATACAGCAACACCTGTTCATTATTGCAATATAATTTCATTTTAACTCCTCTAAAGGCCTTTTATTAATAAAATAATATTAGCTCCAATTAAAATCTTTCTCAAGCAAAGGTTTAATTTCTGAAGTACAGATGGAAACTACAAATTTTTTAGTTTAATAGCATAAATGGACTATTAAAGCTGAAATGTAATACATTTATCATTTTATTCGCATAAACAACAAGTGGATGTCTTTACTTATACTATGGACATATGGTTGCCTAGATCAAAGTAGGAGTAAATTTTATAATGCTTTCCAGAAAATACAAAGAGAATATAATTAAGTAGCTAATTAATGGTAGCTTAGAAGGAATAACAAATTGACAAACCTGTTTTGAAACTAAAGTCTACATAGGTTTCAAGAAAGTCAGGTCACATAATATAGATTATGTTTTACAGTCATCAATTTAAAAAGGGGGTATAACTTAAATCCATGCTCATCAATTAAAATGCCACATAGGATAAACTTTTTTGAATTTTGAAGGGTAGATTTATTTATTTATTTATTTATTTATTTATTTATTTATTTATTTTGGTACCTGGGATCGAACTCGGGTCCTTGCGCTTGCTCAGCAGGCGGTGAAACCACTGAGCTGAATCCCTGGCCCTAAGGGTAGATTTATTAAATAAAGGAGGCCTTTTGGCCAATATATTTTTTACTTTAAAGTATCTTGTCTATTTCACATATCAAATTCTAAATCAGTTCTGAAATCTTTTGAAGTCTATTCTTTTTCTATTGATTTTATTCCAAATACACAGAATGGTAGCTAACATTCACAAGGTTCTTACTTAGGTCGACACTATGCTAAACATTTACATGTATGTCTAATTTAATCTTTATATCTCCCTGTGATATAAAATAACTATTACCATCTTCATTTAACTGACGAGGGAACCAACCAAGGTCACATTACCAATAAGTAAAGGTTAGGTAATTGAGACCATGGAATGGAACCTGTTCTCTGAACCCTAAACCTGCACTGTCTCCTTTTAACAAATAAAATCCTCAGGGCTTTGAATTCCAATGCTTCAGGGAAAATTAATGCTAATTTCCTAACAATGAGGTTAACAGACCTATAGAGCCAAATTCTCTTAAGCCTTCAGCCACTTGCTGGTAGTAACCCAAGCATATTTTATCCCTTCTCAATCCTTGCTAAATTTATTATATGGATTTGAAAGTAGGTGAGAGTACATAAATATCAAATTTAAGAGGTCAGAAAAGAATTCAGGCTCATTACAGGTAATGATCTTAAATGATGTCACCATGTTATCTTTTCTATCATTAATTAAACTCATATTAAAATATTTCTAATTACAGTGCTATATTTGAAAATTACTAATGTTAGAGAATTTTTCCTTTGAAAGCTCACATAATGCTGTCATTTTTATATCATATTAAGCAACTCTGAAGTAATAAATAATAGTGGAAAGAAGAATTAAGCGTATAAATGACTTCTATAATTACTTCACATCCTCTAATATTTCCATTATTTAACAAATACTGATTGTTGTGATTCATATTTAATACTTGAGAGCCAATATTATGTAATAAAAATGTGTTTTGTAACTCACAGATAATGTACCTTTCAATTCAATGACTGGAAATGATCTTGACACTTTCAAATAATGTGTCATAAAGTACTGACTCACTCTGATCACTTATGACACATCACCTGGTTAGCAAGGGCCGTACTTCTGACCTTTCTATTATATCCTGCTCCTACCCTTCAAGCTTCTGGAATATTTCCCAAAATTAAGAAATAAAATAATGGAGAGAAAGTACTTTAAGACATATCTGCATGAAACTGGTATTATGGTGTTTTTCACTCTGACAAAGGTATTCTCCTATGAATAAAATGCTGATCACATACTTAGCCCAAGTATACACCTATAAATCTCTCCAGCAATATAAAAGTTATCTTAATTTTTTAAAAAATCTTTATATATGGTGATATTAGTAAATAATATTTTTGGTTTAAATATTTTAGAAGTTTGTCCAATGACAATATGAAATAAAGATTTTGGTTTTTCAATTTTTTTCTTACATTTTCCTATTTGTTTTAATCAGAATAATTGTTTAAAAAATAGATATGTTTAATTTTTAAAGTTGGATCTGTGTCAATAATGTTCTATGATCATTTTTGCTGTCTGATGTTTTAATGAAATTAATTACCTTTTAAAATAATTTTTTATATTTTTGTACTTCTCAGTGAGAATTCTCAACTATTTAAATTAACAATATCAATTCTTACACCATCAAACTTCTCAAAACCATGAGTGTAAAGTTTTATCAGGTGAGATAGTCACCCCTCAGTACAGTTCCCAATGATCCTAGCCCATGGTATTGAAGTTTTTAAGTAGTCTTCTCTGACACTGTACACAATCTACATGCTCAACAAAAAACACAGCCAAAGTGATGGCATGCAACTGCATAGACTCTATACACTAAAAACAACACTGCATGTTCAGTCTTGGTCACTCTCTCTTGGCTATTACTTGCTCTATGAATATTATCTGTTGTGTTGTAAAAAGTCCTATGTAGAGGCTCTGTTGGCAAGGCACTGAGCCTGCAAGATATGAGGACTGAGACAAGTGAGTGAGCTTAGAAGTAGATCCTCCAGTTCCACTCAAGCCTTCAGATCCCTGCAGCCTCAGATGACATCTTGACTATGATGTCATGACAGATTCTATGCCAGAACCACCCAACTAAGACATTCCTGTATTCCTGACTTCCAGAATATGTGAAAATAATAAATTACTGTGGTTCTGAGTTTCTAAGTTTTACAGTGACATCTCAGGATGAATAATCACTATATCAAGAGTCTTGTAAGTTCTAAGAGAATAAATTATCTTAGCCTACTCTAATTCATGCAAATGGAATAATATGCTCTTATATCTTCTTTCATTCAACATGAACTTATGCAATTTGTGTCACACTTGCATGTAGTATTAGATTTTGCATTTTGATTGTTGTCTAGTATGCTATAGTGCAATTACACAACAAGTTATCCATTCTATAGTTAATGGGCATTTGGAAAATTTTCTGTTTTACACTATTAAATAAAGTACTACTATGGACATCCTACTACATGTCTTTTGGGGCCATGCATTATTTGTATGGGTCATGTTATTTAAATACTGTGATTATTCAAATCGATTGGAAAATTTTTACTCCTATTAACAATGCCTGAAGATCCTACTTGCTCTATATCCTCTTTAGTTCTTGACATATTCCATCATTTACATTTTCACCTTTCAGTATGGTATATTCCTTACTTCTTTTTCAACATCTTTACCAAGAATCTATAATATATGTAAAAGTCTACTGGTAGAAATTATGAATTACTTTAATCTTTTATTACTTTCTCATCCTTAAGTTTGGACTGTTAAATTTTTCTCTTTAAAATTCCCTAAATCTCATCCCTTGTTCAAACTCAATAATTAACCTCTCTAGTTTCCACATCAATAAAAACACACAACAGGGGAAGAATGCAAGAAAAAAAGAGGCGAAGGACCTGCAGTTCTTGCAAAATGTGGTTCAGTGTCTAGGAAGAATCTTGGGTCACAGGAAGAAGGAAAGAAGTCTAGAAGAAAGAAATTTTTAAAGAAGCTGAAGTTTATAGGGTGAGAAAGCATCAATTAGACATATATCCCTATGATTTGAAGGGCTGAAGTGACCCTTTACATTCACCTGGAGATTACTTTGATAAGAATAGAATTGATTCCAGCTTTCTAAACTCCAACTGTCTTTGTTCAATTGACCATCATTATGTGTCTAAATAGAAGTCCTTTTACAACCCTGTCAACCTTGTAACTTTTTCTACTCAATCTTTAGATTTAGTTTACATGTCAGTTCCTCTGTGGAACATATCTGATTCCATCCCCACTTCTGCCTTCAGCTAACTTAGATGATCCTGTGTCTTGGACATGGTAACACTTCAAAGATACATGTTTTAAGGCTACTATGTCATAACTGTATGAGTTTTCTTGTACTCAGATACTTCTAAAACCTGGACAACTGTTAGAAAAACTT